GTATTTGCTCATGGTGGAGTGTTATGCTCGAATTTGGGACCCCCAAAAGACCACCAAAGACCAAGATTTATGTAAACAGCAAAGAGGTGTTTATTGCAAGCTAGCTTGGTCCTCCGCGCACACACACAGCAACTGGTGACGCTGAGAGGCCCGGAGCCCAGGGTTTGCAGCAGTTTTATACATTCTTTGGAGAAGGCGGGGACCCCCACATACATCATAGCATCTCTTAGCAAATCATCACACACCACGGGAAAATCTAATAACAACTCTAAAACATGATTAGCACATTCACTGGCGGGAACAAGTTGGGTAAGTGTGATTGGTCAGTACAAAAGGGGTATTCATTTGAACTGATTGGCTTAAGCCAAGAGGGGTGTTCGTGCTGAACTACATGGTTGACATTTGGTATTCCTGGTCAACAATACAGCCTGCAGTATCACTCATTATTCCCAGGTATGGGATATCTGCCAATATGAGATACTGCCTTTAGAATTTTGTCCAAAGATGATAGTGAAAGGATAAAGAAATTGAAATGTAAAGGATAAGGTTTGTTTCAAGACCTGTAAAGTTTTTAAGTTCTGTTAAGTTGCATTTGGAATCTGAAATTCATGTGGCAGTGAAAACAACTCCCGGAGAGACAAGTAAATGTATGTTGAAATCTCCCCTGACTATCTGGTTGCTCTGTAAAAACAACCCACCCTTCCAGAAAGAAACCGTGCAGTCCAGCAGGTATACACCTCAGGGCTTAAACCAATCAGTTTAAACATATACCCATCTTAGTACTGACCAATCATCCCCACCTGACCTGACCTGTTCCTGCCAGTGAATGTGCTAATCATGTTTTAGAGTTGTTATTTGATTTCCCCGCGGTATGTGATGATTTGCTAAAGGATGCTATGATGTATGTAAAGTCCCTGCCCCCTCCAAAGAATGTATATAAGCTCTGCTCAAGTTGTTCCCGGGGCTCTTTGTTCTTTGCTCCTCTGAAGTGAGCTCTGAGCCCCAGCATGCTGGACCCCCAATAAACCCTTTGCTGTTGCATGAGACAGTCTCTTGGTGGTCTTTTCCTCTGAAGTTTGCCCAACCTTTTCATCAGTCCCTTTCCTGAAGAAAGCCACTCTCCTTTTTTTTTTTTTTTCCCCAAAATGAACATTATACAACTAATTAAAATCCATTTTAACCACCAGGAATCTCTGAGACAAATTAGGAGTTTAACTATATAGGTCTCTGCATCTTTCATTCTTATAGGCATCTTTTCCTTAATTTGACATCCACAGTGAATCATATTTTCCTTCTTTTTGATTTTTCTTTTCTACATCATCATTATTTCACTGGGTTGTTTTCTTTTTGTAGTTTTCCTAAATCCTTTGTGGATTAAAATAATGTGAATTAAGTTCACATTGATATATCATGGCTTCCTTCTTCTCTCATTTATGATCCTCTAAATAGACTTGAAATTTTGCAATGCTTTTCTGTTTGGTAAAATTATTTCACCAAAAAAAAATCTTGATGGAGTTTTAATTGTCACAGCTTTAAAAATATGTAAAAATCTTTACCAAATATCACTAATTTCTAAGTAAATACAGAGACTGTATTTGGGATTTTAGAAATTGTTTCTTTTTTGCAACTTAATAGTGCTTTTCCCTTGCTTCTCCTAAAGCTCATATCACTCTATTTCACACCTGACTTTTTATTAATTACCTACAAAGAAGACTGGAAATTATTTTATCTCCTAATATTATAGTTGGGGGTCTTCCAGGAGTCATTTCCAATTGTTCCATAATTCTTCCTCCATTCATGATTCAATCTCTGATGAATGATCAATTGACAACCCCAAGTTACACAATAGTGTTAGGACTCTAAAGTTCTATCAGATTTTTTTTTGACTGTTTGCTTTTGTTCTCATAGTTCTTTCTGAAGACAGCAGAAGTGGAATTAACCCAAAATGTACACATCTAACTTATGTTCTCCTAGTCCACATCAGGCTGGTAAAGCAAAGAAGTCAATTAGTAAAAACAAGAGTGCCTAAGTCCAGATGAACCCAAAGCATTCCAACTTCCACCAAATAAATGCCTCTTGACTAAGTCAGAAAATTCCCTGAGATTGCCATGGGAGTTCAAGCATTTCTCCTTGTTTTGATCACTGGGACATAAGTTCTGGAGCCTCCTTGTTTTGCTTCTCCTGACAATGACCACTTGTGCCCTCAAGACATCCTAGGGACAGCAGGTATAAGCTATTAGAAGTTCAGGTAACACATTTCTGATCCAGTGGTGCTAGGTACCAAGTAGCCTGACTCCCTAGGTCATCTAGTGCTACAGCATCTGATATTTCCAATCGGTGGTCCTCAGCATTGTGTTTCAACTTAGAGTGGGCAAAAATATCCATTCCCATCAGTGTCATATTCTTGTACATAAGTCATAAAGTATAACTGGACATAAGTTCATAAAACTCTTACAGAGATCAATATATCTATCATTGCTCCTTATGGTCCCTGTCCTTCTTTTGAGGACTCTGTAATAAATTCTGCTTTGGAGAAGTTAACACTAGTCTACCTGAGAACTTCACAATGTCTTCTTCTAGAATAAACACACCTATTCTTCTCACAACACTGTATGACCCTGGGAATAGTCTGAAAGTCCCAAATCTCTTCTCTCTAAAGGTGAGCTGCTTCAATGAACATATAATCACCCTTACAGATTTGTGGAGAGTCCTCATAATCATCTCACCAAAACACACTGTGTAGTTATAAACTTGAAACATTACAAAAGCTTCATTCATTTTGAGACTCCTTCCTTCTACTTACAAGTCAAAAGACATGAATCCCATTTTATACAATGAAAATTATGAACAATTGTTACTTTATCTTCTGCAGATACAGTGTTTTGTAAGAGTAGGTATTGGGGGAATATTACCAAGTGACTGCTATAAAAGAGACACACAGAAATGACAGAAAAGTTCCTGTAGTCACATAAGTTGCCGTGTTCTTCACTGCATAAAAAAAAATCTAGTGGCTTTAAGGCAATTTATTATTTTAACTATCCACTGAGTCAACTGTATGATGCTTCTGCTGATCTTGCATGGGCTCACTCATGTAGCGGCATTTACCTGGTAGATCAGCTGGGAACAAAGCACCATATGCCTGCAGGGTTAAATCATTCCATGTAGGCTTTTAACTTCCAGGAGGCTAGACCTGACTTCTTCATATAGTGACAGAAGCAGTCCAAGTACCACAGCTGCAAACTGCAATGCACCACAATGCTTATGTCCCACTGGTCAAAGCCAGTCACATACCCAAACCAAAGTTGCTATGGAATGGGATCTACAAAAAAAGTGTATCTGGGAAGGTGTGATTCATTGCAGGCCATTAACATAGCAATCTACCAAGGCAGCTCCCTAGCAGAGCTGTTACTTAAAATCCTCTTAAAATCCGTCTAATACATGAGTCCTGGTATTCTTTAACAAAGTTTCTTTCCTACTTACTCCATAAATTATATTTTTAAGACCTCAAGTAGTATACAATCAGTGTCCTGAAAAATTGTGCTCTTCTATGTGTAATATGAAATGAGTTGCATTCTGCCATCATGTATAACAAATTAGAATAAATAAATTTTTTTTAAAAAGAGCTGAAGTATTATTATGGGGTTTTAAGCTCATATTAATCCAACATATCAGTGAATGAATGCTTATGTAGGACTCAAAATTATTTTGAAATTTAAAATGCACCATATGACACAGCAAATGCTCACTACTAAATACTTAAAGCTCCTCTGGAAGGAATAAAAAATTATTTGAATGTAAATGCAAAAGCCTTTAAATACACCAGGGACAAGTAGTTCCCCCACAAGGAAGAAATGCATCATTCTGTCATTGATGTTGCAGAATCACGCTCCTAAGGCACTTTGCACTTCTAATCAACATTGAATTTGTTATTAAACAAAATGTCCAAATGTACAAAGTCTTAAGAGTTAGAAAAAGAACCACTGTGTTCTTGTTTTTATACCAACTATTTCCATATAAGCAAGACAAGAAGATGCTCAAAAGTATTCATATATTAACAATCTGGATAACAGTCAACAGTATGATCAAAACGGCAAACATCACCAAAGAAAAGGTAGAGAAGAAAGAAATGCCCAACTTTATTCCACTGTACAAGTTGCTACTATTTTTAAAATACTCTGGATAATTTAAAGAACAGTTGAATAGTAAAATAGTAATAATTGAACTTTTGAAGGCATTGGCTATACCTCTTATGATTAGTTTTAGTTTCTTCCATCACTTTTTTAAAAACTTCAGTTCAAGTTCAAGTTTGTAAGCTATTGTGAAAATTAATGTGATTTGGAAAAATGTGTGTGCCTTTGCATCTAGAGGTGAGGCCAAGTTGTGATCATCAGGTAAGGTGGGTCTCTTTGGAATAAGGAGGTTAGACCTCCTTATTAAGACCAGGGCTAGCACCCTTTACTATAAAGGCCCTCTGACCAGCTATGCTGATGCCAAACAAGATGCTGCTCTGTGTAGCAAAATGCTTCAGAGCTTTTCCATCAGGGCAATCAAATGTGGAACTTCTCTTATGCACCGAAGACATTTTGTTGTTGCTAAATTATGACAACAAAATCAACTGACCATAAAACAAACAAACAAGCAAATAGGCCAACAGCAGAATTATTTTTAGGTTACTTAATTCAGTTTTTCTTCTTAATGAACTGGTATAAAAAAATAGGACAGAAAATGTACCATATGCTACAGCAATTGCTCAATCCTTACAGCTCTTATGGAAATAAAAAGATCTTTATCTAAAAATACAAGTTTTCCATTCAAATGAAACTACAACCAAAAATATTCTAATATACTTATCAGTTAACCAAAAAATAAAATATCTACAGATTATTATTAAAATACAATATTTTATTATGTTACTAAAAATGGTAACAAAAGAGCTAAAATGAGAATGAATGCATTGACTTACACTTACAATTAAAAGTCAATATATAAAGCATACAGTATTTCCAATTCCACAGTGAAGAATAGTTCTGAATTTCATAAAGTTACAAGTTTTAGATGACTCATCTACTTCCTTTTTCACAAAATCAATATAAACTCTCCCAAACAGTCTCAATATTGTAAAGAGATAAACTTACAAAATTTCCTTTTTGGGTGGGAGGGAAAGGGAGGGGACATGGGGGTAGAAAAGATGGTGGAATGAGACAGACATCATTATCCTAAGTACATGTATGAAGACATGAATGGTGTGAATATACTTTGTATACAACCAGAGATATGAAAAAATGTGTTCTGTATGTGTAATATGAATTGTAATGCAATCGGCTGTCAATATATAACAAATTACAACAAGAAATAAATTTAAAAAACAACTTCCTTTTATTTCAACATGCTACATTCTAAGTTAATGATTGTAATTATATTTCAGAAAACTAAATTATTATTTTTATTTATACTACCGGAACAAATTATAAAGATGAGAAAATGTCTGATATTAATGATGTGTATACACACAATATATATGATCTTGGAATAAAAAATACTGATTTCTAAAAATAAAATGTGCTTAAAAAAATTAATATTGAAAAACCACCATTACTCAGCAAGAGATTCACTGATGATTTGTGATGCCCTGCTTTTCCTTAAGGAAAAAAAAAATGTGACAAATCCTTGATGTTCAACCAACTAGGGCACAGTTGGCAATTAGGGTGAGGAATACAGAGTGCTTATTTCCTTAAATTAAAAAAACAAAAACAAACAAACAAAAAACAAGCAAGTAAAATATCAAAACTTTTGGTATTCTCTTGCACTTCATTAAATTCTAATCTTGTTAGTATCACATGTTACATGTAGAGGCCTATTTTTCCCCTGAGGGCAAGGTAGACCAATATTGTTAGGTACAGTTCATCATTTTATGTAACCTAGATTTAACAGATGAAAAGAAGCAATATGTAACCTATTTTTTAAAATAACATACACATTTATGCATAGAAATTAATTTTCAAATAACCTTTGTCTACTGAGAACCTCTAATTTCCCAAGAAAAGAAAACTTTAACATAAAACCTCAGCTTCTAAAGAAATTCTGTGCAAAAGATTAAATTAAAATTATGTTCTAACATTTGAAAATGCACTTCAGTAATCTGTATTGTTATAGAGTGCTAAACATATTTATTCTAAAATCCATCCTTTACAAATTAATTTGGTTTAACAGTGGGTAAGGACAACAATTTAAGTTGAATATTAGGCTAGATATAAAAATAGTTTCTTGAACTTTAAAGAAATCACAGCATCTTGTAACAAAAAAATAAATAAAATAAGAAAAAGAAAAAGCTAAAACACTGGCTGCTTTTAGAGGAAAATGTCCTAGAACTGGAAAAAAAAGGAATGAACATATTTGTACACAATGAGAAATTCAATACACTTTGTGCTAGACATGGGGCTTGTTTCTGAACAGAAGTTCGTGTCTAAATGGTAATTAATACTTTCAATTCAACTTATTTTGAATGTACCAAGTCTGAAGATAAAAAACAAAAAAAGTGGCTATGTCATCAAAATCAATATGACATTGCTAATTTTTTATTAAACATTCAACCAGGTTCATACTTAATTTTTCCTTTTTAGTCATGCAAAAATTGTGGCAAGTCTATGGAAAAAACTTAAAAGCAGCAGCAAAATACACTGATATTACTACCAGGTGATGTGACTGTGTCTAAGTGCTTTGGTTTTATTTTTATCTTTCTCTAGTTTCTAAATTCACATTTAAATTACTTAACACCCACCTTTACCATCTGCTTCAGAATTTTATGGAAGATTACCTCTAAGTGTGATGGAATCCCAAACTTCTATAGTTAATGAAGAGATATTTGTAGGTCTAGATCATATCCTGAAGAAAAAATCATTACAGAATTTGTGTATTGGTTTAAATTCATTCATTCCTCCCAGGTAAAACGAAACCGTTCCCATGACACAATACTATATAAGAATAGTTACTATCCTCACACAGTAACCACTTTTTAAGCATATGCTTTTTATGGTAGGATCACTAACATATGCTCCCAACACCAATGAGCTAAAGAATATATATTCTTTGTCAAACCTTTCTTCTACAGAGCACATATCTCCTCATAAATAATTATTCCCAGACAAATTGGACTAAATTATCCCATATATTTTCCTAGCACTGAAGAAGAAAGAAGACATGAGTGTAAAAGGGTCTTTAAAATGTTCTTCCTTAGTGCTTCCTTACTGTCTGAAAGCTGTAAGAAAGATTCTAATTTTTCAACCTAACTTCCCTAGTGTGAATGTGTAAAGTGGTGGACAGTACTACACATAGCATAGTGTATTAATGACAACAAGTGAGCTCTGTGAGGAGCTCAAACCATGGATTAAAATGGTCTGGGCCATTTAGGCAGAAGGGGGAAGACTGCAGTTTCAGTAGAAACTGTAAATAAATTAGTCTTATTTATATATAAAAAAAAGAAGAAAATGACTTCATTTCAGCCAGAAAAATTGGCTTCCTAAACTTAAAACATAGCCAGGTTAAGAGTAAAATTCCCACCTTAGTTTCTTACAGGCCTTGGTAGAAGTCCTCAGAAGAGAGCAGTGTTTGCCTTGATAGAAATTACCCAAAATATGTACTTAAATGATGTAAAATCATTCCATTAATGGAAGGCAGCAAAAGTACTAACAGGAGTCAAAATGATATCCAGGAAGAAGGAATCTTACATTTATTATATAAAACTGTTTAAAAAACATATTGCTTCAGGAAATAAGATTTTATTGTAATAACTGGCTTATTAATCTAGAAACATCATATTGAAAAGCAAATTAAGGTCTACAACTTTTGATAAAAAATAAAAGAAAATGCTGCAAAACTAAGTCAAAATCTTAAAATAAAATGGGCAATATCTATTTTGCCACATCTAATAGCTTCAGAGAACTTCATGAAAAAACATTTGTACCTTCACTTATAAATATCACAAACAAAATTAAAAATTAATTTTTAAGTTTCATGTTTCAAGTTTCCAAGGATACACTGGTTCAGGCAAAGACAACATTTGACTTCTGAGCATATTCACAAAGTCATATTTTCCTCCTAATAGTCCTGGATCAGTTTTTTATAAATAAACTACCTGACCAAAGGAAGCAAGAAATGAGGAACACGATATATCTGCTTCGGGTAAATTGTATATTTCCCTTTCTTCCAGCTCCTCGAAATTTACAGAGTCAGATATGAAGATGCTCTAAGCACAATGGGTTGCTCCATCCTAGAGTACCAACCAAGGCAGACTAATTATTAAGATGAAAAACATATAAAACAAAGCCAACACACAAGTAAAAACATCTCCACAGGAAAAAAAGGGGTTAAGCTGGAAAAAGGAAGGAAAGCCATAAGCTACATAGTTAAATTGATAGTGGGCATCTACTGGCTAGCAGGTACTATGTGGAACATTTGTTATTATTTTTGATGGACCTATATTTTATTCATTTATATTATATGCCATGCTGACGATCAAACCCAGTGCCTCACACATGCTAGGCAAGTACTCTACCAAAAGCTACAACCCCAGCCCATATTCTTTTTAAGTCATATGAAAATACTATGATACATATATTTTCATCTGTATTTTACCTATGAGACAAGTAGATTAAGAAATCAAATAAGGAATCCTAGGTCATGCAGCCAAGATGTGACTTACTCAGGATTCACTCTCCATCCATCTGATGCCAAGCCTCTTTCCACACTGTCAAGTCCACACCTTCATTAACTAATATTCCCGCTTGGCTTCTATCTGTGGACCAATACTGCAAAAACTTTTAAAAAAAAGAAGACATTGTCTTTGCACTCCAGGGAGTTAATATCTAAGAGGAATTCAGAAGAGTCAGATGCCTAGTTCACCAGGAGTAGTTTGGTGTATCAGAAGAATACTGGCTAGAAAGAAAAATACATCACTTACTCTAGGTTTTGCTATTTATTAGTCATATGACCTTGGGTAAATAATAATTTTATTATTTTCTCATTTGCAAAGCATTTAGTGTATCTACCTGAATTATCTTACAAAATTAGTTCTAAGATCCAATATGAACACAAGAGCCTTCTTAGTTGTAAAATATTTTGCAAATAAGAAATGTTAATATTAGTATTCAAGTGTCCTAGGTCATTACAGAATTGTAGGTAGATATCTAAATTCAGCAATAAAAGAATTTGCTGACTCATTTTTTTTTCTCTTCCTTTTTTGCTTTACTATATTTGGATTTGTTTAGATAGTAAATGTGCTAAGAGTGTGGGGTTAACTCACTGGTTATGGGTTTTGCTCCCTGCACTGCACATGGACTCTAGCTAGTTGTGTCCTGTCAGGCCAGTCATGGAAGCCTGTTAACTGCTAGCCAAAAGTCAAACTAGTCCTAGTTCACTTTCCTTCTTCCTGTTTATTCCTTTTCTCCTGTCTTTCTCATCAACTATCACATGAAATTATGACTCATTGTTGCAGAGCCCACTCCCAAACCCAAATCTCTGCCTCAAATTCTAAAATCATCCCAAGGAAGACAAGAGGAATAACATTCTAGAAGTAGGTGATGAAGAACTTCTTTAAAGAAATTGAAAATTTAAAGGAGAAACAGCATCTGGCTGACTGAGAAGAGTCTCATGAACTAGGTTAGCTAGTATCACAATCATTTTAAAAAGCTAAAATAATTTTCCATTTTAAATGCTAACACTTAATATTTAATATTATAATACAGTTTTTAACAATTATCACAAATTAATCAAAATTCAGAATTTTCTTTTTCTATAGGAAAAATGTATTCCCAATTCTAAACAACCAAATGAGCCCAAGAAAAAGAAAAGCTGTTTAGACTTCAAATATATTTGATAAAAAAAAACACGTACTGAAAGTCTTCAGATGATTCCCAAATCTTACCTGTAATTTTAAACCAACCACTACAATGATGTCTAAACTAAGCTCAATGGACAAAACTGAAATGTCACAGGAAAAATTCTACACAAATTAGTACAAACTAAAATAAAATTTCCCATGTTTTAAACATACCTACAATACAATATCTCTCTTACCTTTTCAATCTCTCTTTCATTGTCTTATTCTAAAGAATCTAATTGTAGTCTCTCTGTTACGTAATTTGGTTTCTATGCATGAAATCAAAGATTTCTATTACCTGTAGAGACAGAAAAAATTAAAAACCAGAAACACAGGGCAAAACATGAAATCAGCATTTTGTGTTTTCCCATATTAGTCTTATAAATAGCAAAATCATCAGAGTGAATTTTTATCTTATTTAACTTTTATTCAAGATATTTTCTCAATAGCATCATCTATAACATTTTATAAAATTACCAAATTAAAACATATTAGTTCTCTTTATTTGAATAAATACCTTTATTTTCTGGCAATAATACATAATTCCTTCAACCAATACTATGTTTACCTTGGTTTGTCATAATTTACTTAGATATTATTCATGGGAGAGTGGAACTGCTGCATCAAAGTACAAACTAAATCGCAGGACATGGTGGGACATACCTGTACTCCCAGTAGCTGGGGAGGCTGAGGTGGGAGGATCTCATGATCAAAGCCAGCTTCAGCAAATTAGAAAGGCCCTAAGCAACTTAGAAAGACCCTGCCTTGAAACTAAGTAACCAAACAGGGGCTGTGAATGTGGCTCAGTGGTTAAGCACCCCTGGGTTCCAATCCCTGGTACCAAAAAAAAAAAAAAAAATCTAAAATTACTTCTACTATTGCATATTGAAATTTAAGAACTATCAAAATAACTAAGTTTTCTTGTTGGAAAATGTGATTAAAACAAGACATAACCATATAGTGTAGTTCTTTATGGAAAAGAAGTCTACAAAATGTACATATTAATACTTTTTCAATTAAACCTTTCTTAAATTTGAATCACCTTTGCCATCAAACAGTATTTTCACCTCTAGTTGTATTTCCTTATCCTCCATTAATATTTTTCATAAAAATAAAAGAGAACTTCACTCTGAAGAAAACCACAATAGTTCAATAGCCATACATAGCTTAGCAGCCCTCATACCTGAGTAAATTTCTTGCACTTTTTGTTATTTAGGTCACACAAATACTGCAATTAATGTAATGAAATCATAGCCTTGTCTGTATTTCCTCAGACAGCCAAGTCCTAACTCATAAATATTTCATTTCTTATTGTCTTAACTCTAAAAGAGAGTAGACTGTATTTTTTATAAACGCTTTATTTAAAAATCCTTTTCTTCTGAAAGCATTCTGACTATGACATTGGTAAAGTACCATGTATAACATCATAAAAGAACTTTCATTCAACAGACTGACAACCACCTGAAATACTTTAAATACTCAAATAAAAATTTCACAAGAGCACAGTTATAAAATAGAAGTGTGTCCTGTGAACCTTAAAATGATAATGGCATTTACACCTTTAAGGACATTTTATTTAGTCAAAGAAAACTCAAAATGAATTCAAAGGGGGAAATATGGACTGGGTATTATGGGTTAGTTAAAAATCAAAAATCACAAATTGCTTATTCAAGATATTGAATATGGCAATAAAAATGATTAAAAATACAAGGGAAAAAAGAAATGATGATGTTCAATTTATAGCTCTCATAACAAAATCTAACACGTCATTCCTACATTAGACTTCCTGTCAAAAAAAGAGAAATATGTGTTTTGAAGAAGAAAAAGTGAGGAGAGTGTGTGTAGGTGTCCCACAGTTGACTGCCTGGCTGGGGATTGTGGCTTTGCCCATAGCAAGGAAGAAAGAACATCAGGGAAAATAACTGGACTCTCATTCTTAGTCTTTTCATCCATCTTCCCCATCTCTTCCAGCTAACACTGCTCTTTCAAAAAATAAAAATAAATACCAGAATCCATAAATGGAAAAAAACAAAACAAAACAAAAAAAACTACCTAAAGAGCCACTCTAAATAAATACAGTTGGAAATCCTTCTTTCCCAAAGGCATACAATCAAACCAAGTAAAACAGTCTTGCTGACTGGTTGAGAGAAGATCTCTGATGTGTTCAGCTTTCAGATGTCCCATTCCAGCCAGGGTCTCACTCATCTACTTCACCTAGGCCACAGCCCACCATATCCTGACTTACAGCAAGCAATAAAATCTTCTAGGTGTGCTAAAACTTTGTCTCATAATAAAACTGCTTCTGCACTCTGCAAGTTGTGATGCTTCATTACTCTTCTACTGATCTAGGGATATTCCTGGCTTTTTTATTTTTTATTTTTTCCCCAACCTCTGCAAAAATGATACAAATGTTCTTTGTTCCTTATCTAACCTCTAAGACTCAGCAAGATGTTGTACTTTATACTCCATATGTATATTGTAATACTAATCATGCCAAAAGTCAAGCATATAACAAATTAATAATTTTCTCTCTTTGAAGACTTAATAAGAACTACTACTTTAGAGTTAATTACAGCAAAATGGGAATAACCATGTCATAAAAGAACTTATGACAGAATTCTTAGAAGTACAAGTCAATGTTCAGCTTAAAATTCCAAGCAAGTCAATGAAATCTGGCATGGATATTAGTAATGGAGTTTGAAAAAATACAGCTACATTTATATGAACAAACTTATGTGTCTGTGTCTGTCAAAATATAGTCTATGAGGTAAACCTGGCCCACTGCCTGATTTTAAATAGCTTATGGGGTATGGTTGAAAAAAATATGAAAAGTATATGAAGAAAAACCTTACTGGAACACATATATGCTCATCCGTTTAAGTATTGTACACAGCTGTTTTATTACAATGGCAGTCATGAACAGAGACTGAGGGTGAACAAGGCTTGTAACATTAACCATCTATCGCTTTAACAAAAAATATTGTTGACCCCTGCTACATATAAGAACTTTCCATGAACCTCTAAAATCAAAAGGGGCTTATCTATATCTTCTATTAAAAATTATAATTATTAGAAACAAAATTATGACCCCCCTAACATTAACAAAGGAACTAATGAATAAAAAATCGGAAATACTCAAAAGGAAAACCAGGATGTATTCAACCTCAGAAGTGACAAAATTGGTAAGGAATAGTACAGAAATATGACTGAAAGTTTTAAAAAGTACTCAAAATGGACTGAAGCATGTCAATAAAATAAAATAAAATAAAATAAACCTCTAAGGATATTTCAAGATCTTATTTAAGTGTGGAAAAATATTAAGGAAGAAATGAGCCTACTATTTGGTGATAATAGTCTAATAACCTCAGATAACTGAGATAGATGCATCACAACTTCTTGAATTCTAGGTGATTTTTACCTTTTTCACCAAAAAGGTAAAATTTTAAAGCTAAATGGAATATCAAATATGATTAATAAGAAAAATCAAAGGTCAGGAATTAATGAGGTAACAAGTCTCTTTAAATAAATCCAGATGTCGTAAGACCAGTGGATGATAGATTTTTTCAAAAAACAAGTTCATAAGTTTTATAACAGAACCATAGTCAATAACCTCAAAATAATTACAACAAAAGACACGATAAATACTAGTGGCAAAAGATTCTGTACTTTTTTTTAAAGTTAAAATAATTCTAGAAAACCAAGATTAGTGAGGTTCACACAAAATTTTAGAACAGGTTATTAAACAGATGGTTTTTAAACACATTTAAAAAAAGAACCTGCCATGTTAAAAATAAGTCATACCAAATGTTGTTTCCTTTTCCTACATTGTTACTAGATAAGTGGATCACAGAAATGTCTTAACTGCACAATATTTGAATCAAGAAAATGTGGAGAAAATCTCTTGTGGCCAACTTGGAGTTAGTCCACTCATTACTTGTTTAACTTTGGAAACTTTCTTAACATCTCAGATGAGAGGCAAATTCCCACAGGCCTCTTCTATCCTTGCATGTTCTGCAAGAAGCGGCATTTTCAGTTTTTGTTCTGCTCTTTGTATGCATGTGTAGGTATGGTTTGGGGGATCTAACCCAGGAACTCATGCATACTAGGGAAGGGCCTTACCAATAAGTCAGCCACAAATCCAGTCCCTGTACTATCTTTCCGTGTATCTTTTGAATACAAAGTCTTGGAATATAGTGACACTGTCTCCTTCTCGAACAAAGGACAAGTTTGCTCAGTCCATTATAAAGATACAATTTCCTAAATTGGAGGTTTCTCGTTTTGGATGTAACAGTTTCTCATTTTGGATGTAACATCAACCCAAGCTACTCTGCAGAGCCCCTGTAACTTGGGAGTCAAGGGAACAAAATCAAACATGTACTCATGCTACCTGCTGTACAGTGAGTAATAAGGTCCTTTGCTTCTGACCCAGGAGTCTTGTGTCTTCTACAAACAGCAATAAAACAATGACTGTCTAGTTTATTAGCTTGCAAGTACTATAAAATTCCAAGACTTTTACAGTTCTTGAAACTGTGTAACTCAGCTTAGTCATTTGTAAAATGGTTGTGGCTCAACAGTCACACATGTGAGGCACTGGGTTTGATCCTCAGCATCACATAAAAATGAAATAAAGATATTGTATTCACCTACAACTAAAAAATAAATACTTTTTAAAAAAATATTATGAGGACTAAATGAATCAATACATACAAAATTACTTAGAAAAGTACCTACATTAAAATATCTGGTAAATGTTATTATAATGATAATTATGATAAGTTTCAAATATATATCACTAGCTAAACAATCACATCCAAAGGATGAATGACAAGCTAAGGATTCTACCTCCTCTAAGAATAGAACAGGCTCTATTCTTAAAAACATTCTGCTCAAAATTTTTTTTAAAAGTTGAGTAGTCTCTAAAATGTATTAACAAAAATTATGAATGACACAAATACTAACAGATAAAACAAGCAGCATTTCTTAAAAGTTGACATACTTGGGCTGGGGATGTGGCTCAAGTGGTAGCACGGTCGCCTGGCATGCGTGCGGCCCGGGTTCGATCCTCAGCACCACATACAAAGAAAGATGTTGTGTCCGCCGAGAACTAAAAAATAAATATTAAAAAAAAAAATTCTCTCTCTATCTCTCACTCTTTCTCTCTCACTCTTTCAAAAAAAAAAAAAAAAAAAAGTTGACATACTCAATAACTGACCTAAAAATACACAAATTTAACCAAGGTACAAATCTTATTCCAAAAATCAAGTATTTAAATGGACATTGATTGCAACTTATATGAAATGAATTACAGTTCTGTTAACAATGTAACATGTCTAAAACTTAATTTCCAACCAGGTCTCATCTACAGAATGGCGTCTAGCTCCAAATACAACATTTTAAAGAGAAACTTCAGCAAATATTAATATTTAGGCAACCAGATTATTTTAGTATATAAAAAATAGAGAAACTTGACTTCTGTCAATGGAGAAAGAAAAATGTATTGGAAATGATAACTTTTCAAACATCTTTTGTAGGTAAAATATGTTATGCAAATATATGGCATAAATTTTGGTTGACTGATTTCAATTCAATGTAAGAAAGAATGCTCTATTGATTTTTTTCAAATGTTGGATATTATTCCATACTGTATGTATGTATGTGTGTATATATATATATATATATATATATATATATATATACACACACACAATTTTCTTTATCCAATCATATGTTGAAGGGCACTTAGATTAGTTCCATAGCTTAGCTATTATGAGTTGAGCTGCTGTAAATGTTGATACGGCTGCATCACTATACTCTGATAATTTTATTTCCTTTGGATATATACTGAGGAGTGGGATAACTGGGTCAAATACTGGTTCCATTCATAGTTTTGTGTGATTCCTCAAAAAAAGTGGTTGCACCAATTTGCAGTCCCACCAGCAATGTATGATATGAGTGTACACTTTTCCCCACACCTTCACTAACATTTATTGTTACTTGTATTCTTTTGTATTTCATTTTTATTTAATTATTAATATATGAAAGTAAAATGTATTTATGAACTTTGATATATCATACATAGATGGGGTATAATTTCTTATTTTTCTGATTGTACATGTTGTAGAATCACATCAGTCATGCAGTCATATATGTACAGAAGTTAATAATATCTGTTTCATTCTATGTCCTATCCCTATATTCCTGTCCCTTCCATCATTCCACTCTACCTAATCTAAGATAAATCTATTCTTCCCTTATAGTGAATTAGCAACTGCATATCAGAGAAAATATTAAGTCTTTGGTTTTTGGGGATTGGCTTATTTTGCTTACCATGATATTCTCCAACACCATTAATTTACTAGCAAATGCCATTATTTCATTCTTCTTTAAAGCTGAGTAATATTTCATTGTGTATATGTACCACATTGTCTTCATCCATTTATTTATTGAAAGACATCTAGGTTGGTTCCATAGCTTAGCTATTGTGAATTGGGCTGCTATGAACATTTATGTGGCTACATCACTGTAGTATGCTGGTTTTAAATCATTTGGGTATAAACCTAGAAGTGGGATAGCTGGGTCAAATGGTGGTTCCATTCCAAGTTTTGTAAGGAATTCCCATACTGCTTTTTCCTCTACATCCTCAACAACACTAATTATTGTTTGTATTCTTGATGATTGCCATTGTGACTGCAATGAGATGAAATCTTAGAGTAGTTTTGATTTGCATTTCTCTAATTTCTAGAGATTATGAACATTTTTCCATATGTTTGTTGATTGATGGTATTTCTTCTGTGAAGTGTCTATTCAGTTTCTCAGTCCATTTATTGATTGGCTTATTTATATTTTTGGTGTTAAGTTTTTTGAGTTCTTTATATACTCTGGAGATTAGTACTCTATCTGATGTGCATGTGGTAAAGATTTTCTCCTAATCTGTAAGCTCTCTCTTCACATTGTTGTTTTTTTAGCTGAGAAGCTACTACTCAGACATAAAGAAGAATGAGACTATGGAATATGCCAATAAATGGATGGAACTGGAGAATATCAGCTAAATGAATAAGCCAGTCCCCAAAATGCAAATGTCAAATGTCCTCTCCAAAAGTGGATGCTAGCACACAATGAGGTTGGGGAGAATAAGAGTTCAGTGGATTGGACAAAGACAAGGAAGGGAAGGGAGAGAGGACAGGAACAGGAAAGACAGTTGAATGAATTGGATATGACTTTACTACATGCATATATGAACACATAACCAGTGAAATTCCACATCATGTATAACCACAAGACCAGGATCCTAAATCAAATGTTATATTCCTTGTATATATAATACATCAAAACATACTCTACTGTCATATATATGTAAAAAGAATGAAAAAATAAATAAAAACTATAAAAAAACAGAACACCAGTAGAGGAAGAGAAACAGGGGAGGGAGAGAAAAGCGAAAGGAAAAGTAGTGGGGACTCAAGTGGAGCAAGTTATATTCCATGCATATATGATTATGTCAAAATGAACATAACATATAGCTGTGTATGACTATAATGCTCTAATAAAAACATAAAAATAAAAATATTTATTAAACAAATGAGTGAATGAAATTAAAACTAAAAAAAAAAAAAGTTGGAGATTAAAAGTTTTTCATTCATGTAAGTTTTTGAAAGTCACTAGCCAGGACTACCAATTGAAACTCCCTCCTGCACATTAAGATGTCTTTGAATTTCTTGTCCATGCAAAAGCAAAGACACAGATAATTTCTGCATGTTTCTTGAATATTTTCATTCCTATCTTCTCTTCTTATATTTCTGTTCCATTTCTACTAAGTCACTTCAAACTGACAATTTTTTCTTAAGATTCAATCTGGCTTTCTGATTTAACTCTCTGGTTATTCCTTCTTTGTACAGCCTGCAGTCCAAAACAGTTCAACAGACACTCTCGGGTAATAACTGCAACCCATACCCCCACAGTTGATTTGGAGGAAATTTTAAAATTTCAAATTTCCTTTTAATTCTTGGATTTCTGGACTCTTCTTACTTATTTTGCCATTTAGAAAAACCAAAGGATGTCCATGGATGAAGAATGAGCACATGAATTAACATCATTAAACAACTGATAATGAGCTTCTTTCTTAAGAATTTGTTACCTCAGTGGGTCTTAAATCTTTCAATTAGCCAAGAAGATGACAAGGACTACACTGGCACAGACCAAAAAAACACCCATCAAAACAAGAAAAGCAAGTGTGAGAGAGGAAAAAAGCAAAACAGAGACTGGAGGTTGAAGTGAGACTAGGGAGAAAACTACTTATGATGAACACCCCAGATAAATTCTTAATGTTAGAAATTATTAACCTGTCTTCATTCCAAACTCCTAATTATGACAGGAAAACTCTAATACATTCTTGCAAAAGCAAAAATAATACACATAACAATATAGATTAATCTCAAATGCATGGCTTATGTATGAGGTGTCCCCCCAAAAGCTCCTGTTTGAGACAACACAAAAATTTTCAGAGATGCAATGATTAGATTATGAGAGGTGTAATCAAATCAGTGAATTAATCCACAGGTATGGATTAACTGGGCAGTAACTGTAGCCAAATAGGGTGTGGTTGGATGAAGTAGGTCACTGGGGGTGTGCATATTGGGTTTATATTTTGTCCCTGTTAAGCAAAGAGCATGGGCCACCCCCAGGTCTCTTTTTCTCTCTCTCTCTTTGCTCTCTATTTCATAGTTGTTATGTTCTGAGCTACTTCCCTGCACCATATCCTTCCACCAGGATATTCTACCTCTCTATGAGTCCAGAGCTTTGGAGTTGACCATCTATGGACTGAGACTTTGAAACCATGAACCTCAAATAATTTTTTCCCTCCTCTAAGTAGTTATTGCAGGTCTTTTGGTCTCAGTGATGCAAAGGCAACTAAAACAAAAGTTGGTACTGGGAATGGGGCCATTGCTCTGACTAACTTGACTGTGTGGTTCAGAAGCCTTTGGTGTTGGTTTGAGAGAAAGGAATTGTGAAAAATTTGGAGATGAATGTGGAAAAGCTTTAAAATATCATATATGGAGCTTAGTGGATGATTCCTGCAGGAGTGCATAAGACCAAAATGCCAATATAATTGTGGAGAGTAAGACTGAGATCATGGGGTTTCAGAGGAGGACTCTACTGGAAATTGAACTACAGGACATTTATGTTATTTTATGGCAAAGAAGTTGTTTACATTTTGCCCATGTCAGAGAATTTCTGTGACGATGACCTTAAAGGAAATGGTCTAATTAATCTGGTAGAAGGAATTTCCAGGCAGCACAGCATTCAGGCAGTGGTAATGATATTCCTGATGGCTTTCAGTCAGGTTTACTGTGATAATCAGCAAAACCAAGGCAGAAAGTTTTGAAAAATTTGGAACTTGGCCAGAAAAATCTGTGTAAAACTACGACTGAGGAAGTTCTGTTTACTAAAGACAACATAGCCACTAATGAGATGCTAAGTACTTTTTACAAAGACAATAGAAAAGATGACTTGAGGGCTTTTCAGAAATTGGCAAGACAATTCCCATTTCAGGCTCACGCATGTAAAAATAAAAAATTATTTGAGAAAAGATGATGGGAATATATTATTGCACAGTGGGGCTTATGTTTGACCATGCTGAACTGTACAGGTGCTCAGAAGCTGCTACAGCCATGGCACTAAGAGGAGACTTGGCTACCTGGCTACTTCTCAAGATGGTAGCAGACCTGGGCATCAACCACATGGTGCTAGTTTATAGGAATCAGGATTCTAGAGTTAGAGGGTCATGGAGGCTTCCTCTGAGATTTTATAGGAAGGCTTTGGAAGCCTGGCAGACTGTAGCCATTATTCTATGCCATTATATGTTGGATATATGTCACTTGATTTTGATCTTTACTTTCATAGCTAAGAGTACGCTTTGAGTCTCAGATGAGGTTTTGGACTTGGACTTTGGGGCAAGGCAGGACCAGTAAAGACTATAGGGACTGCTTGGAAATGTACTAAATGTACTTTGAGTTGTAAGATGGATATTAGCTTTGGAGGGGTCAAAGGGAATGCTACGGTTTAGATATGAGATGTCCATCAAAAGCTCTTGTGTAAAACAATGAAAGAAGTTTTAGAAAGGTGAAGTGATTAAATTATGAGAGGTATAAGCTTATCAGTACATTAATCCACTGAAATGAATTAACTGTGTCGTAACTGTAGGCAGGTAGGGTGTAACTAGAGGAAGCAGGTCACTGAAGGTGTTACTTTGGCATTTATATTTTCTGACTGTGGTGTGGGTGCACTAGTCTAGTGCTGGCTTGCTCTCCTGTGCTTCCCTCCACCCCCACTGCTTCATAGTGACCACCCCCACTGCTTCCTAATGATACTGCAGGTTATCAGTGATGAGTTCTGCTTCCTCACATGTTGCAGTTTGATCCTTAGAGAAGCACGCTAAGGCAAGCAAATAAAGCAGGGTTTATTAAAAAGACATAGTTGGTATCCTGGTTTATTAAAAAGACATAGTTGGTATCCTGGTATCTCAAGAAGTGAGGTGTTCTCCCTTTTCATATGTCTCAGGCTTTCTTTTTTTCTCCTGCTCTTTTCCCCTCATCTCTCTCTTTACAGCATAGGTGACTACACCCAGGAATGCTAGGTGGGATGGCCAAAAGGTGGGAGACAGGAGGGCTGAAGGGGAAGGGCAGATGGAGCAGCCTAGAACATGCTAACTAACAATCTTATGGCTCCCTGTAGGAAGGGGCAGTTCCTGGGAGAGGTTACATCAGCAAGAAGTAGAAGCAGGGGCAAGTTCTTGATAAGGGTGGAGAAAGGGCTCTGAAGGAATTAACATTTCAATACCTCAGGGGACAGTCTCATACCGCCTGGATTCACTCAAAATTGGCCTCCTTGATTCAACCTGATTAAATTTACCTATCTATACTGACTGCCTGTCTAATTCTGGCTTCACTAGTAACCATGTCCTGAGCTACTATTTCTGCAACATGCCTTTTGCATGATGTTCTGCCTCACCTTGGGCCCAGAGCTATGGAGTCAGCTGTCTCTGCACTGAAACCTCTGAAACTGTGAGCCAAAATAAACTCTTCCTCCTTTAAGTTGTTATTGTTGGGCCTTTTGGTCACACCAATGCATAGCTAACTAAAACATTATATTAACTGAAAAACTCGGATTCAAAAGCTACATACCACATGATTCTATTTATAAAACAGACTTGAAAAGTAATAGAAAACAGATTAATGGATACACAGGGACTGGAAGATAGGAGGAAGGACTGAGGAAAAGCCACATGAAGAAATTTGGTGAGGAAAATGTTCTATATCTTAATTGTAGTGGTGATTACACAACTGTATGTTTGTCAAAATATGAAGATCTAAACACTAAAGAGGGGTGAATTTTTTTCCATGTAAATAACCTTTGACTGCAAAATAGAAAAATAAAACTCTTTGAAAAAACTCTGTAATAATCAGTTACGAAAATATGGCTATGTAACTAATAAACATAATAAAAATAAACATATTGAGATTTATCAGAATTATTTCTAGAATATAGTAATTAATCTTACCTTAAATTCAAATGTCAAATATATAAGCAGCTTGCTTTTTATAAATAATACATTTTCACTTTTACATGAATAGGTATCATGTAAAAAATAAAATTATCCAGTCACATGCTACTTTTTAAATTATCTTACTATAGTAAGACATATAATTCCAATAAAAAATATTGTTTTTTCATTAGTCATATGTCCTATATTTTGCTACCAATTGTGAGAGTATGTTTGCACTTAGAATTGGTTCAAAGACAGAAAAACAAGTCATCTCCAAAAGAAAAACAGAACTTCTTTTAATGTAGGATGAATAAACATGTACTTCACCTTATTTTAGAATTTGGCTTTGTTTCAGCTAACAAGATGTTGTCAAAACACAATTAGAGGAATGTCTAAGAGAACAGATATGTAAACTCTAATACCAATTAGAAATAACAAATTGCATTGCCTTTTTCCCGTTAATAGAATAATCTCAGGAACAGACATGTGCGATTGGGAATATCATGACATTCTTAAAGTTACAAATAAGCAAAGTGTCACAAAAGAGAAATTTTAAAGTCATACTTTTAAGGAAGTATAAGAAGTTGATGAAAAAAAAAAATTGTTTTTTTCGTGGTACAGGGATTGAACCTGGGGTTGCTTATCCATAGCCTTATCCACAGCCTGAGCCACATCCACAGCTCCTTTTATATTTTATTTAGGGACTTATTCTTGATGAGTTGCATAGGACCTTGCTAAGTTGCAGAGGCTGGCTTTGAACTCATGATCCTCCTTCCTCAGCCTCCCAAGCTGCTGGGATTACAGGCATGCACCACTGTGCCCAGAAAGAAAATTGAGTTTTAACACTATTTTATTGGGGATAACATAAAGTGTGTAAAAGAAATATTATTTTTAGTCAAACAGACATACTCCAAACCATACACAAGGTAAAATGTAATGAAATATGAATATTTACAAAGTTGTATGACTGTAAAAAACTAACAAGACATTATTCCCTGCCCTCTGTTCCTTTGGTTGTGCTGAATTTGCAGAGGGTTGAAGGAGAGAAGAAAACACCAGAGACAGCACACTTCATGGAGTTTGTTGGCTCGGCATGAACACACGCATCACACATTGGGGCCTGGGGAAGGGAAGCTATGGGGGACCACCTCCATGAGGCTCTACACACTTTTGGCAGTCCCCAAGGGAAGAAGAAACATGTCGCATGAGATTTGACACAAAATGTCTTACGTGGTGCACTGTACAAAATCTCTCTTCCATTTTCTTTAAAACAAACTACAGTAATATATGCAGTACTCCTGTAGTTGGGGTTGTGTTTCATTATATGAAAAGTTCTATGGTTCATTCATGAGTTAGTATTCACAAGCAAGCTAAAGGGTGGGATTTTAAATTTGAAGAGTTGGAGTTTTCATTAAATCATAAACCTTCAATGTGTTCTGTTTAAGGGTATATATTGGGGAGGAAAAGGACAAAAGGAACTTGTAAACTTTTGTTATGTTTTCCAATGCAAAGAAGTAAAACCATCTAGGTTGGTTATAAAACCCAGAATCTCAAAAAAGACCTGGATTCAATCCACTTCCCTCCATTTTTTACTGCAAAAAGACCCAGAAATATGTGGTTTGTCCATGTTGTATTCATGGTATATCCATTAGAAACATTTATACTAAGATATATTAATTAATTAAATGTCACTTTTAACTTGTGTTCAGCATTATTACATTAAAGCATTCAACTATTGAGAGTTTGTTTTCCAAACCATATATATCCACTCCCAACGTTCAAAATTAAATATATTATTATTTCTCAGATCAAGAATTAAATAAAAGGGCTGAGGCTGTAGCTCAGTGGCAGAGCACTTTGCCTAGCATGTGTAAGGCACTTTGTTCAATCCTTAGCACCACATAAAATAAACAAATAAAATAAAGGCATCCTCTCCATCTATAACAACAACAAAAATTAAAGAGGATCACTAGTTCAAAACCAGCCTCAGCAACAGCTGAGGCACTAAGCAACTCAGTGAGGCCCTGTCTCTTAATTAAATACAATATAGGGCTGGGGATGTGGCTCAGTAGTTGAGTATCCCTGAGTTCAATTCCCGGTGGCAGCCCCCCCCCAAAAAAAAGGTTAAATTTTAAAAAAGGATCTATAAAATTGAGCTAGAGCTAGACATAAGTCCATCTTGGATATTTCTGACAATGTAATAGTGAAGAATCTTTCCAAATATGAAATGGTATCAAATGGTTGCAGGATGAAAACTAATTTTGATTATGTGACAAACAAGTTATACAATGACATAGATGGAAGTTATATCTGGGGCCTCCAGTGAGTTATTCATTCTTTCATTCAACATTTATTTATGGAGTTCCTACCATGTGCCGAGGCACTTTTGTAAGCATTGAGCTAGAGAACAGAACAAAACAAAATCTCTGGCACCTTGTAATATACATTCTCACTTAGGGAACAGATGAAAAATAAGTAACTTTCTAAAATGTTAGTTGGTTTTGGTGGTATGGAGAAAAGTAAAATATGGTAAAGGATATAAAGTATGAACAGTAAGGATTTGCTGTTTTATACAGTGCATTGAGAGGATTTCCCAAAGAGGAATACACCAGATCAGAGATATCTGAGTACAGAGCATTCCAGACAGAGAACAGAGAAAAAATGTCTGGAATAGAAATCAGTTATCTTACTTTTAGGCATATCAAGAAAACCAGTGTATCTAGAGTAGACCAACATACTGTATGAAGCATCAATTGTGGTATCTGCAACAGTTCAGGTAGGAGACAATGTTGTATTTGACCATGTTGGTATTATAAACCAAATATATATACATGTAATTCAGTACATGTAATATATATATAAAGCAAATTAGTAGATACATGTATACACACACACACATAAAACAAGATCATTTTTGTGTTGCCCTTTAACTAAAGGCAGACTCCAAAAGGAAGAAACAAAAGACAAAAGAAAGTGAGAGTTAGAAACAGGTTCATAGATGAAAATCAACCAAAACCTGGAACATAAGTTTGGGTGAAGTAACAGTGAGGAATAGTTCTGAAAGATGCTAGGGATCATTTTTAAATGAGATGATTTTATGACAGTATACATATGCTAAGATAATAAGATATTTGGATTAGTGTACTGTTAACTTCCTCCTCATGATCCACCAGTGAGAAATGTTAAGCTTTCTCCAAAATATGTCTGTCATCGATTTCTTTTTCTTCTCCTTGAAATACACCTTAACAAAGTTTGGTTTTTCTTAAGGTTTAAATAAAGTTACAAAATCATGGCTATGGTTGTAATATGTGTTCTAAAATGTTACAAAACAAAATTATGCAGAAAGCTTTCAAAGAATATGCTTTCAAATAACTTAAAAATTGAGAAAAAAGAAAAAATAAATGCATACCAGAAAAACTTTAAGTTCTTTTGTAGTAGCATCCTTTGGGTCAGTCAAAGTTAATTTCTTTAACCTGTTGAAAAACAAACGAACAAAAAAAAAAACACTTGTGACATTCTAATGGTACAATCTTTTAGACTTGCCTTAGAAAAATCTTCAAAAGAAACTGCAAAAGACTTAAATAAATTTTAAATAAACATTATCTTCCACAAAGTATATTTTAATTGAAAGAAACTGAGGAACATTAATAAACTAAACATGCTGGGAGCTTTTAAACCCCTGGGAATTCATTTGCTTTATAGCAATGTGCTTTCTCAACATTAAATTTTATTCACTCTTGCTAATGAAAATAATTTGCCATAGCAGAGAAGAATGAAGACAACAGTGTCCTATGACATCCTAATCAATATAAAGAGAGGGTATGTTCTAGATATCCTTAGTGGATAGTAGGAAGAGGAAAAAATGCTACTGATTAGAAAGCTGAAAGCTAGCTGGAGTTGAGTACTGGTCCAAGAACATATGTTTCAGATGCAAAGGAATCCCCTTGGAGACTTATGGAGAAAATGCATTTAAATAAAAATTTAGATAAAATTTAAATGAACTAATTTTTGAATTTAAAGTGTATGTGGAAAGTTGGGAAATTTAACATAACACGACTTACAGGGAGTAAAAAAAGTTCACCATTAAAAAATGAAAAAGTAAAAGTGAATCATAAGCTACAAATAACCTAAATACAATCTTTTAAAAAAAAAAAATGAAATAAGCATGATGTCAGTATACCCCATTTTAGAGCACAGATATATTCTGTTAAGTAGGCTGCTAGGAAAATATCTGTATGAATAAACATAATACCTAGTCAATTATAAAATGGAAATTATACTTCTAAAATTAATTAGGCACATACTTCATAATACTTCCTTTGAAGAAACAGCAAATTAGCAAAGCAACTATACAAAGAAAAAATACTTTTAATGTCTAATTCTACTGCAAACAACTCACTACATACATATAAGTTGACTTTGTTTTGTTTGAATATTACTCTTATTGCACTTAATACAGAGAAATATTCTTTAAAACCCTCTCTATGGCATCTTCATATTTTAATATTAGCTTCTTAGTCATATTTTTTTCCATTTTACCAAAGCTCATCACTTCTTTGTTTTGTCTGGAAAATTTAGGGCAAAGAATAGATAAACAGATGGGGCAGAGCAAAAATAGTATATATAAATGATAAGCAAATACACAAATGGAAGTATTTTCTCAAGAGAGAATATCTACAAGCAAAGAATTTCTATAGGAAAGAATACATTATGAGTATTTATATAATTTAAAAATGATGAATTTTCACATAACCAATGCTTGGTTTAAAAAAAAAAGTAATGACACTTTTAGACACTCCTTCTAGCTATGTTTAAAATTTAAGAGAAAACTAAACAAAAAGTAGTTGTGGGGCCCACTTCAAAGTTCTGAGAAAAACATGAGGAAGCTAAAAGTTTGGAAGGAAATCTTAAGAAAACAATAAAAATGACCTGATAGGCCACATGAGGGGGAAAAAAATGCCCAAAGAATTTATATTATTCTGCTTGATAAAGACTATACAAAAGATACAACACTAGTCCAAGTATATGAAGAGATAAATAGTCAGATCTAAGAAAATGTTATTGCAGTCAAAGAAAAAACAGATGTAGCCAATAGTATGTGAAATTCAAATTAGGCATTAAACTACCTGCAAACCACAAACATTGGGACCTTTTTTTTTTTTTTTTTTTTTTTTTTTTTTAGTTTCAAGCACCTGAATTACCATTACAGAAGTCTTAAGAATACAAGCAGCTCTTTCTGGGTTGGATTTCCTCCAATTTGTTGGCACTCTGAATTAAAGGTCACATCTATAAGGCTTCTATCAGAAACGTATACAAATATTAAGATCTCATTGGACTAATAAAGGAAATAGGCTTTCGTTTATCAAGCAGCAGTATGTATTTGGGCACTGCTTAGAACATTTTGGGTCCCTTCATTTATTGATAAGAGTACTACTATTTATCACAAAGCTTTGAAAATAGTTGGAGTATGCCAAAAATTAATATTCAGTAGTTGACTTGGAGCTGAGAGCATTGCTGAATTCAACTAGGATTTCCAATTTTGTCTACTAACAATCATGTAAAGAAAACTTCTTAGTGAAGTGTGTCCTAAATCATATTCTTTTCTTAAAATCAATTACCACTTTCTGATTTAGTTCAGAAAGGCAGAAAATATATCATGTCCATCATTCTGGGTTGTTTAAATCAGTACTATAACTAATAGCAGATTTAACATGAGACTCTCAACACAGAAATAGAATAAGGGTGATAAAGCAGAGCCAACTATAAATCCTCTTAAAAATCACAAAGAATATCCTTTTTATGTAAGTCCATTCTGTATCTGTCACATCTTCTCTTGAAATAAAAAAACAGTTGGTAAATTCATTTAACTACATTCATTACAGTGTTATATGCTCTACAAATCTCTATCAAACCAGGTGTTATTTTGACTATTTACACTTTTCATAAAGCATAAGCATACCTATAAGCTAATAGGTATTTTCTTTTGTACTTTTCATATCATGTTCCTACAAAGGAAATATCACTTCTCATCACAGGTTATCTGTATAGATAAAAATGTCTATTTTCTCCCTATTTAAGGTTCCTAGAAAGTTATAAATTTTTAAGCAAAACTACTACACTATTATGAGTGCAAATAAATAAAACTCCAAAGACAGTTTACTCAGACAAAGCTAGTTTATAAATCTATTCATATCATAATGTAACTAAGGCCTTTCTTTCCACTTCAGAATATGGATTCTATGAAAATGATATCCCAAAGCATAATTTAGGCCATTTTGGAAAAAAAAAATCAATTACAAGAAGTTCATAACTGTTATTTGTATATCTTCTCCTTTAACTGCTTTGTTTATTACAATACTCACTAAAGTGGAATGGTAACATTTTATCAGCTATGTATAGAAACTAAAATTTATCACATTCCTATTCAATTTGAATGTTAAAAATGATTTCCTGAAAAGCCCTTTTATTCTGTGTGCTTAAAGTGAGTTTTGAGTTTAACTTACATTGAGTGCCCTCTTGTCTTTTATTTAATTTTTAGAGAACAGAGAAGCAGTAGGTTTCTTAAGGAAGTATTGAGTTGACCAAACCACTGAACATGTGTCAAGTTAAGTAATGGAAGGAATGAAGGAATGAAGGAAGGCAGGAAAAAGGACTTTAAAAAGCTCTAAAGCTCATATAAAATTTGTTTTAAAACGTTTATTTTTTAGTTGTAGGTAGACCTTTACTTTACTTTTATGTGGTGCTGAGTATCAAACCCAGTGCCTCACACATGATAGGGGAGCCCTGTACTGCTGAGCCACAACCCCAGCTAGCATATGAAATTTTATGGCCCTAATGATCACTTTACATAACTTTATATTCACTGTATGAACGTAGATGCAAATGAATCAAAACTGTAAATTGTGTTTAACTACATTAATAAAACACTACATTTAAAAACTCCAGTACAGGACTGACTAGGGCTCTAGCTCAGTGGCAGAGTGCTTGCCTAGCATGGGTGAGGCACTGGGCTCAATTCTTAGCACCACACACAAAAATATGCAAATAAAATAAAGGCATGCTGCCCATCTACAACTACAAAAAATAAATAAAAAATTTTAAAAACTCCAGTACACTGATAATATATGTATCCATAACTCATAGTGACAGAAAAAAATAAACAGGTCCCTTGACAACATAAAACATTTGCCAAGGTAGGGCACAATGCAAACTTGAAGATGAAATTATCTCAAAGTTCATATTCAATTCAGCTTTGACCTCTGAGACAGATTTCCTATTAAACACACCCCTTCCTGTCTCCACTGCTGCCTAACCAACCTATTTGAGGGAGACAGTGCAAAGATGTGCCTTCCAGGCAAACTTTTGTTTTCTGAAGTAAACCTCCCCCAAATACTTAAAGTTGGAAATGTCCACTTCCTTGGAAAGTGTCCACTTCAGGATGTCACATTTCTCCTTTGAGCTTCCCTGCTACTGTTACCGCTGTTGACCGGTGACGAGTTCTTGCTTCCCCAATGTTGAAGAATAACACCAAAGAAGCACGCCGAGGCAAGGTCAGAGTAGAAATTAGAAGTTTATTAAAGGACAGCAGAAAAGACTTCTCCCTGAGGAAGAAGGGGACCCAAGAGGTGGAATCCGTGGAAGTGAGGTTGTTTCCCCTTTTTATAGTTTTGGTGATGGAATGTAGGTTGGAAGGCCCGAGGGGTGGGACACAGGTGGGCCAAAGAAGTAATCTGGTCAGGAAGGACTTCTGAGTCAGCACCTTTTTGCTGGGGGCTGTTCATTAACATTTCTTTGAGGTGGACTTTGGCCTAGGGCCTTTTCGGGACTTCCATGAGTTGTCCTGTGTTTTCCCTGAGTCATTCTCCGCATGGTCTCCATTTTAGATTTCACTCGATATTAGACCCGGATTTATCTAACTACACTGACTACCTAACTTTAAATCTGGCTTCACTACTATGTAACTATCCTTCCAAGTAGACTGTGGGCATGTTGGGAGGTAGATCTTTTTAGCAGTTCTAAATCCATGATCACTGAAAATATTACATTTTACACACTCCCACAGATATGTGACCCTCTCCTCCTTCCTGCCCTTTCTGAAACTCACCCAGGCCCCTTGGTGCTCTTCTTGTTGCCAATGCCTGCCCACCTGGAAGCAACCAGTATTCAGTTCTAGAGGAATAATCCTCAAGATCAAGTAATTGACTGGATTTCAACATGTGGTGAGAGGAAACCTGTGTGGGGGGGAAGCATATGAGCAATACAGATAGCAGCTGTCCCTTAAGGGGTTTAAATCTGTTGGTTAAAAAGCTGAGTAAACAAATACACAGATGGGTCTAGTTCTTGGCCATTCAGGATTCTGAGGCACCTCCCAAGGTGGCCAGTTTGGCCTCTCTTGACTCATTCTCATGCAAAATGCCCTTTGGCTCCCCTTTCCAAAGCCCCAGCCCTGTACACAGCCTTTCTCTTCCTATTCAGTCTAATCAAAGTGTCACCCTAAATGCCAGGTGCCCTGAGAGCACCTACCTAAGAGCACTCAGAGTTAGGACAGTAAGACAATTTTTCATCCTTGGGCTACAGACCCAAACACCCACACCAAGGGAGGGCCCACTTCCAGGTCAGGGCTAGGGAGAAGTCTGGCCTCAGGGAAAGGGAGAGATGCATGTGCCACCTCTGCCACCCCAACAACTGCTGCCACACTTGCGCCTCAGCAAGCAGGAAGGGTCCTAGGGACCTTTGCTTTACCAGGAGGACCTTTGTGGACCTACAGATAAAAGCCAAGGAAGAAGCTCTCGCTTTTGCCAGAGGTGTCTGTGCCCCTCCGACATTTCCTCTCTGAATACCCTGAGGCATGATTTCACTCCAAATCCACCAAAAGTAAAGATTCCAGCCCAAAGGGAAATAAAAGTACACACCGGGACAGATCTGGGGGGAAGCAGGCAATGCTAGAGCATGCACTTGGTAAAGAGCTCCCTCAGGGGCAGCAATTAAGACATAAGATTGTCCTGAAGAGTCACGAGTTTCTTTACTGTCCTTTCTTGTGCAAAGAAAAGTACTTTGGAAATGAACACCTAAGAACCTAATTTAGGAACAAGAGGCATGCACTAGCCCAACTGAATAAAGATCAGCACTTGGATTAATAAAGTGTGTGTTTCTAAATCAACACATTTTTACTGTGTTTCTCTAGGGTGGTGGGGGGGGAGGGAAGAGGAGGAAAAGACAAGAAATGATTTTTTAAAGAACAGTAAACAAACACACATCTGGTGTTTCCATACACATTTTCCCCCAGCTTCGGTCTCTCTGGAAGATGTATTTTGCTTATTCAAAACTAAAAATCCCTGAACCAACAGCGAAACTCTCCTTTCTCCCTTCTCGACTCCTCCTTCGCCCATTCATAGCAAAATGCAAAAGAAAACAAATGGTGATGACCCCAAGGCTGAAGCAAATTTGACTCCTTACACTCGCCCCCTGGCGCGGAGAGCAGGCGGCGGGGCCAAACTCTGCTGCGGCGGCGGGAGGAGCACGGAATAAAGTCGCAGCCTGGCCCGGGGCCTGAAGGTGGCTGGGACAGAGTGCAGGGCGGAGGTACAATGTCCCAGAATGGGGGCGAAGAAACTTACCGCGACCGAGGACACAGTCGGCAGCGATCCAGAAGGTGACACCCGCGGTTCCCAGACAGACAACCCAAACAACACACCCACGCGCGAGTCGCGGCAGCTGCTGCGGGCAGATGGAGGCGCGCCAGGATGGGGGCTGAGGAACCACAGCCGGCTGACCCGCCGTCACATAAATAACCACAGCTGGCTGTCGTTGGCGGACTTCGAAGGCTCTGTGCTTGAGGCCTGGCGAAGCTGCAGCCCTGGAGCTCCCTGCGCCAGCCGGCGTGTCTACCGCTTTCTGGGAAGCTCAGAGGCCCGCGCCTTCTCTTGCAACCACTCCCCCCACCCGGATCTCCTGCGTGTGTGTACGTAGGCGCTAGTGGGCGTGCATACACACCTGGGCCCTCGCGTTGTTGGCTGTGCAAACTGTTCACTCACCGTGTGCTGAGCTGCCTCCTTCCCAAGGGGCCCATTGGGGGGGGAGACAAAACTTGTTTGTTTTGTCTTTAAGCTGTTACTGTAGTCCTTGTTCTTGATCCAAAAAGTGGTTAGGAAGTAGCCAGATAAGATGCCTGTCTCCCCATTCCACCTATCCCCACTGTTTCCCAACTTCAAGGGAGGGGAAAATGCCTGCGGGCAGAATATTGTTCCAACTGTCAGTGGAGCCTCCAGACTGATGTCAGTTCACCTGCAATGTAAATAACTTGCTGGAGAACTTGTTTGTTCTGCACCCTATCTTCCCCCATCCCTACCCTTCTGCCCACCTTCTGTTCTGCCTCCTCCTGCTTTCCCCAGTTGGCGAGTCAAGGAAATGGGGTGAGGAAGGAGAGGAGAACAAAACCACATACTGTATTGGCAAAACCAAGTTGTGTCTGCTGCTTCTTGGCAGTCCCCAAATAGGTCCTCTCAGCAGATGTAGCTGCTGGCAAATGAAAGGGGATTCCACGTGAAATACAGAAAGCCTCAAAGGGATTCAAAGCCCTTGGTGGCAGGTAAAGTACAAGGGAGTCAGAAAGGGAGACCCGAGAGTGTGTTAACACACTGGTCTTTATTTTCCCCTTGTGCACCTCTAGGTCCTGGGATGGAGACAGGTTGAGTGTCTTTCTCCCTCTTCATTGTAGTGGCTCCTGCCTCACTTGGGCACAGGAGTTCTTGGGCTTCCTGGTGGTCAAGCCCAGGTCAACGAAGCGGGTCTAGGGAGAATGGAGCCACGAGGTTCTGAGACTTTCATGAGTACCCTTAACAGTTACTGGGCAAGCAAAAATAACAGGAATGAAAGGAAAGAAGAAATTGCCAGAGCCTGCTCCATACACACTTCAAAGCCAAAGCTCCAGTATGAGGGATGCTTAGGTCTTTTGTCTAGCACCTGTTCCCAGCTCCCATCCACAGGGTGTGACAAGGCTTGCTGGCCATGGCCAGCTAAGGACCCAGGGAAATGACAGGAGAAAGGCAAAAGGCAAGATAGCCCCAGTGGGCAGCAAGACCTGAATCAGGGAGGAGCTTCCTCCTGAGCCCCTTCCCAACCCTAGCTCTGGGCAAGCAGTCCCTCTCTGCCATTTCCCACCAGCCCACCAGTCCCTCCAGCCCTGGGGCTGCTGCCCCCCTTCCCCCCCCACACCTTCACTGTGCCTTGCTGCCTGAGCCTGTGCTCTGCTCCTAAGTCAATCTCAAAATGTGGCTTTCCAAAAGGCGCTGAAACTTTCCTCCAAATAGCTGCTGCCAAGAGGCAATAGTGAACCCAGCCTCGCCCCAGGGGACTTCTTCCTGACCTTCCTTCCTGGAGAAAAACCAGAAAACTTTAGCATCTAAGTGGCAGAAGAGAGGGTGGTATTGGGGAGAGGGGCCAGCAGCACCAACTTGTCTCCCTACTCTTCCCTTTTCTCAAAGGGCAGCAGGCCCTTTTATATGAAGGCACATGGCACAGGACACTAACAATCCCAATCAGAACCCACAGTTTTCCTGGGGAGGAAGCAGCCCTGGCACCCACATTTGTAAACACACCTTCAGGTTATTTAGTGAAACCAATTAAGTCAATAAGCCATGGGGCTGGTCTTAAAAAGGCGGCCCCAGACAGTGTATGAGGACCAAGGTAGAGCTGGGCAGTTATTAAGCTTGCGCTTGCTCCCCTTGTCCCTCTCCTCCCTTCCAGCCCCCAATTCTGGCCACATTGCAGACACAGCTGGCTACCAGGGGCTGCCACCTTGGCACCTACTTGTTGATGGGTGGTCAAAAAATATATTAATTTGTAATTCCTTGAACTCACCCACCACCCTGCCCCAGCTTGGTTGAGAACACTGCAGGCTTTTTTTTTTTTTTTCTTTGTCTAGGCTGCTGGAGCCAGCAGGGGTTTAGCACTCTTTACAACAGACTCCAAAAAGGTTCAAGTATAATAACAGGAAAACTGGGTTTCTGCAGCTGAGGAAAACACTGAAAAGACAAACAAGGAACGAATAGTTTTCTTTTGCACTTGTCACTGGTCAGCTCACTGGATCATGCCAGGCTTAAAGGAAATGCTACCTATAGGAGAGAGACTGAAAGCCAAATCCTGTCCTTGAAGTTCCCACCCAGCTCATAGCCACAGTTCAGGTCTTCTTTGGAGCACATGGATCTGCAAAAGGCATTTAAAGAGATTCCAAGGAAAAGTTAAATTGGATTACAGCAGTTTCAGCAAGAGGACCTCGAGGTTCCCTCACAAAAAGTTTATTTGATTTCTACTTTATTTTATGATAAAACCACCAATCAACAAAATCTGAAACACTGCTCTTTTGCTGTCCCAAGGAAAGGTAAATTCATTTGGAATGATGTCTGCTAGAGAATCTTGTGCAAAATAAACCACACGAAATAAGACTAACTAAAGGTATTTTGAAGAAAAGTGAGGGACGTGAATGACACACTAGAAATGTTGGTTCAATTTTAAGGATAGTCTGAGTGAGCCGCATGGATTTTTAGTTATTTGTTATAAAAATGTAAGGAATAATTATAAATACTCACATACATAATCTGTTTTCTCCAGAACTTTGAGTCTAACAACAACTACACTTTTTTTTTTAGCGCCATCTTATTGGAATATTTATGACTTACACCTAAATTTTAACTCACTTGTTAGATGTCTGGAAGATCACAATTTTTAAAAATATTTTTTCCTCCTAAAGATGCCACTTTCAAAGTTGTATTACTTCAAATAGACTGTTCTCTTACCAGCTTACTATTTTTCACTTCCACTGTAGTTTTCCAAAGATGAGCAAATAAACAGACTCCTTTTCGGCAGTCTATCCCCACTCTCCTCCCAGATACATTTTAGAAAAAAAAAAAAAAAAATTCTAGTTGCACCAAAGTCAAAACAAGGATAATATGTATTATAATGAAAATTGTATGTAGATGTTTGTGAAATTGGTGGAGTTACACCACCATCTGTCGTTAAGCTTCAGAATTACAAAATTTGGGACCTATAGTAAATTTTAATGAGCTTCCCCAACATTTTCTTTTCTTTTTTTTTCTATACTTTCCATTGTGTTTCCATAACCTGTGTTCTGAATTTATGAGGATTCTGGGGAAACAAATGTTTGTTCATAAGCCCTGTACTTCTACCAGGATTCTCTACTCTTCAGAAAATAAATACCCCACGTCTGTCAACCTGAGGATAAAGCCCTTTCAACTCAGCTGTGTGTCGGCAGATTTCCATCACCCCCAGACCCTACTCTGGGATCTAGTAAGCTGCTGATATGAACCATGAAGACTCAACTTCAGGGGCCAGCAGTTTCTTGCAGTAAAAAATGATGCCCAGTTCTTTCTTGAATAAATACAACCTAATTTTTGTTAGTATATCTAATCTCAAACATACAATATATCTCTGCTAAGAAGTTGAATGCGAGTGTCAAAAAATGGAAGATAGTTAATATTAGGTTCTAGATTTGATAAATCCTGTTGGAAAGACAAAGATGGTTTGCTCTGGGATAGGGTATTGCAGACAAAATAGATTCTATATAAAGGAAGATTTTATCCAGGTGAATATGGAAAAGGAACAATTACCAAATAAAGAATTCCAGTACTGAATCAGAAGCCTATATCATACTTTGAACACTGTCTTTTTTTACACAAAACTATGATGATGTAGTATTTATATTGTATCTATATTTCTAAGAACTTCAAAGTATTTCATTGTATGATGTTGCACCCCTTTGTGTGTTAAGGAATTAGTTATAAAATTTTTATTTTCCAAAAAATAAAATGAATCAAAACAAAATGCAATGGCTTGCTTATATTGATACTAGAATAATAGGTTGAAACATACAAAATTGTCTATCTTTGACCTACATAAAAGACAATTTCATATGATTTAAGTTAAATCTCTGATATTTATTTCCTGCCATATTGATTCAAATCTGTAGAACTGACTGACATAAGAGCCCTTTGCCTGTTGATGTTTCTAACATTAAATTAGTCTTAGAGTTGATATGTCTCAGAATTTGTGAAATTTTAAAACTAAAGGAAACTTCATGATAGTCTATTCCAATCCCTAAATTTTAAAAATCATAAAGCAAAAGCCCGGATGTAAGAACAAAGTACCATAGCCAGTTTGTAGAATTTCAATTATTATTGAGATACTTCATATTCTAAACATAACCACCCTTATTTCTCTTATTCCAGAAAAAGCATTTTAGTCACATATTCCCAGATCTTTCCATTTTCTTCATGTCCATCAAATTGCTTTGGTTCAGTGATAGCAAAGCCTATCATATCATATTTACAATCCTGAAGATAGTTAACTGTCTTGTGTGTCCTCCACACTACATAGGAAAAAAGAATATCTGATGAATTGCTTCTTCAAAAGTCAATTAACTACAAGATTTTTTTTCCAATCCTGTAAAGAGGTGCATCACTGTTGATTGCCTGTGCTCATCATAGAAAAACTTATGGTAAGAGATGCTAAAACAAGCCATAATTTATGATATTTTTTAGGGTTAATTATCTTCAGGGACTCATTGGAGGATATACCCATATCAGCAACAAATTGCCTTCTGTGCACTTCAAAGAAATGAAGGCTAATATGAAGCCATGAGAAAAATACAGCACTGTTTTGTTTTTTAAGCCATGAGTAAAAAGAGAACTATATCAAGTTTCTATATCAGTATAGATTTTTATTTTGAATATTATATGACACTCATAACCAGTGTACTATGCCCAAAAATATAGTGAAGTGATTAATTGTAAAAAGCTACATAAAATTTCAGTTATTTGCCCACTTTTCATTCTCCTGATGATCCTCCTTATTCTTATTGTCCTTTGTATTTCCTTCTCCTCTTTTTCCTCCTCCTTTTTCCTCTCTGT